ATAGTAGTAGTAACCAGGAAGAAGATTAGGAGCAGAAAGGCGATATCAGCCATTGAACCTGCGTTGATTTCCGGTAAAGCTCTTTTTGCCATTTTTATTTAAATAAACGGGTTACTTCTACATAAATTATAGAGAGTATGGCCAATGCAGCTAAAATATAGAAGCTGGTGAGGCCCATGCCTATGCGTCTGGATGTTGCTTCCGATACGTCAAGGCCAGCAAACATGGTATTCACGTCTTCACCGGTGCTAAATGCCCAGGACAAACCTAAAATAACCACTAAGCCGCCAATACCTATCAGCACACCTTTCGCACCACGAGGCTTCTTGAAAATATTGGTAACTGAAAATACCAATATTCCAAGCACGGCTACAGCTATGAGAATATAGCTGGCCCAAAGCCCAATGTTGATTAGTGTTTCGTTAGTATCGCCCATATTTAAGCTTTGCTTTTAGAGTCATACTTAACCAAAAGGTCAACCAATGAGATGGAAGCGTCTTCCATGGTGTTAACTATCGAGTCAACCTTGGCAATAATATAGTTGTAAAAAATTTGCAGAATGATGGCTACGATCAGACCGAATACGGTTGTTAGTAGTGCCACTTTAATACCTCCTGCCACGAGTGAAGGCGAAATATCACCTGCCGCTTCAATGGCGTCAAAGGCACCGATCATACCAATTACCGTACCCATGAAACCAAGCATTGGTGCGAGGGCGATAAATAGAGAAATCCAACTTACGTTGCGCTCTAACAAGCCCATTTGAACCGAACCGTAGGAAACGATTGATTTTTCAACCATGTCGATGCCTTCATCGTGACGATCTAAACCTTGGTAGAAAATGCTCGCTACCGGGCCACGGGTGTTGCGGCAAACTTCTTTGGCTTTCTCGAAGCCACCGCTTTGCAGCGCGTCTTCAATTTCGTTGAGAAGCTTTTTGGCGTTTGGCGTAGCCATATTGAGGTAAATGATACGTTCAATGCAAATGGCCAAACCTAAAATAAGAGCTACCAAAACGATGCTCATAAAGGCCGGACCACCATCAATAAACTGTTCTTTTAGAACCTGGTGAAAAGTTTGATCCTTTTCTGCCTCTTCGGCTTCTTCTGTGTTTTCAGTAGCTGTTTCAGCGGGTGTGGTATCCTCGGCCGTGGCCTCTGTGGCTGCTGCAGAGTCAACCGCTGTGGAGTCTGCCATTTCAGCTTGTTGGGTGGTATCCTGAGCAAGCGCAGCCGGCATGCCCAAGGCTACTAATCCAAAGATAGCCAGAATAGAAAGTGCTTTTTTCATTGCTTTAACTTGTTGAATTAAATTTTGGTGAAATTAAAAAACTTGGCCAAAACTAAAGTTTAGCGATCAAATTATTCGTATAAATCTCTATGTATTGGACGCAAAACTAAAATATAGTTGTTTTTATTGAGCGACTGAATACCCTTTCTTAGCTTTGCGGCTTTAAAAATCACCTGCTTCGTTCAGGCTGTAAGTTTAAGAAAAATTTTGGAGAGGTGGCCGAGTGGTCGAAGGC